CACTACACCTCACACCTTAACTTGTGTTTGTTTCAGTGGGCTGGGCCAGGCATGCTCTACTGTGGAAGAGCCCACGCCACAAGACTTGGCAAATTCGGCTCGATGGCCAGGCCGGGTTTAGGGTTCAGGGTACTTGGGTTAAGGGTTTAGGCTTTCTGGAGTTCTTATACTTCTATTACCATAGGTACGGTCTTTTGGGTCTAGAAGAATGCGGCAGGGTGATGCCGATAAGATCTGGCTTGCAGCCGGTCTCTGCTGTCAAGCCGCGTGACCTGAGCATCGGCAGTGAGCATGTGTCCTGCGAGCGAAGGCCATTCTTGATGCTCAGGTGGTAGTTTACGAACACAAGGAGCCCCTATAATCGCCACCCAAATAGTAGGATTCCCTTGTAATAAGGACCCCAAGAGGTACCCCGAATGTCGGGAACCCCCCAGGTGGTAGTGGGACTGCCAGCCTCGCAGGTACCCTTCTGATCTGGGACAACTTGCTGCCTGGGCTTCAGACTCCGACCATGCTAGTGCGCAGGATGCATGGCTGACCTCTTACTCAATCCAGACTCTGCCTCTTCATATACACTCGGCATAAATTAGTACGTACACAAAACTATAAACATATTATGTGTACACATCTGTGGCTTTTCCTTCATGAAAATCACCCGGTTGCTGTAGCGACTGCAGCCATGCCGACTCATGTTTTGGCTCAGTGATGCTCAGTGTAAGGAGGCTGTGCTGTGAATGTGTGAGAGATGGCGCCATCGAAGCAAGACTTCGTCAGGCTTCGCAACTGGCTGAAATATTACGAGGAAGCTATCGAGGACGCAGACCCAAAACGATGTGGCCAGTGTCAGCAGATAGTCGCGCAATTCCTGCACAAAACGTGCATGTCTCATTGTGATGATGATTGGTCAGCAATGCACATCCATGTTTTTCTTCGTCAGCTGCAACATGGGCTGGTCAGTTCCACGAATGGCAGTGGCATTGACGGCGTGCGGACGATCTTCCACGAGACTTGCAAGATCTTGGACACTTGCTTGGGCCAACTTGATATACCCCATTATACCCCCAACTCACGACTTGCAGCAGCTTCAAGAGTGCCGCCGGGAGTGCCAGGACTTGAGCAAGCAGCTCAGGCAGGTCTCAGCCACGGTGACATGAGAGCGCAGCAGCTCCCTTTCCAGCAACAGCAGGATGCCGTGGATGCCTTGTGCCAGGAGTGCGCGTGCCTGAAGGAGCAAGTTTCCAATGGCCAGATGTCCCTGCAACATCAGCATGCCGAGTTACGCGCGAGCATGCCGACCTACAGGAGCAGCTCAACAACGCTGTCAGGGTCGTCACCGAGAAGTTGAAGTCTCAGCAGCGCTTGCATCAGATCCCGCTAGACAGCTTGCGGGAAGAACGCGCGGCGTGTCTGGCAGAGCAACTTGGGAACAGGCGGGGCAGGCAGCAACGCCACGCCCCAGCTTCTTTCACAGGGCAGAGCGCATCTCACAGCAGCGACATAGGCAGCGAGTCATCGTGGGTTCAAGTCTGTCTGAGCTGCGGGAACTCAGAGGCACGCCTGGTCGACAGCACCACCTCCGGAATCTCCGTGGACACTTCCGAGGCGTGCTTCTTGCTCGACTCCGTCTTCAAGACGGAGAGCGGCGCATGGTTGCCTGGGCGGCTGTTGAGAAAGGGCTCCCGGGTCCTAGCCGCGGACGGCTCGATTCTGGAGGTGGCCGTCGACCCCCAGGACCACGAGGCCCGGGCGACGGTGCTGCTGCGTGCTGATGGAGCTGACGGAGTCGATGGAGCTGAGGTCGAGGTGACCATGGACCACCGCATCTGCCTGGCCAATGGCCGAACGGCCCCTCATGCGCAGACCCGTCACATAATTTTGCCCTTCCTTGAATCATTGTCTCGTGCGAATTCTGCTTAATGGATGGCACTCCCCACGACTTGCCCGGGTTCTGATCCCCATCTGCTTGAACTGAGGTCCCGGCAAAGGACCTCCGCGTCGGGGACAGCGTTGTCGTCGTGGGGCTTGGCCCTGCCCGCCTGACGAGCCTGGATGTCAAGTTCGACCCTGTGACAGTCCGGAAAATCACATTCGTTCCTGACTTGCCGGTTGGAGTCTTCACCCCCGGGCCCTCCATCTTGAGCCATGGGCACAAGCAGAAGAAGCCCCGTCGCGGTGGACGGACGCGCAGGGTAGGTGCCCGCGAGGAGGTCTGCACGGTTCCGGATACCGAGGGCTATCTGACAGACGCTGAGGACGCTTGAACTAGAATTGGAGCAGATAGTCAGCGGCCAGGAATGGCCAAGTCACTTTGCATGCTTTCCACCCTTCCTCCAGCGTAAAGAACGGAATCCCCTTAGACAGCGACCTTGAACCCCTACATGTTCCACAAGGGTACGTATTCCACAAGGGTGGGGGCTCCAGCGTGCACGGTTTGACCGAAGAGTTTGACCTGTGCCCCGAAAGAGTGACTTGCCAGAGTTTTGTACCGAAGGCGATGTGCACACAGCTCATCATTGAGCTGCTGCTTCCTAAACCCCAAAACCCTAAACCCTAAACCCTGAACCCGATACCCTAGACCCTAAACCCTAAATCCTAAACCCTAAGCCCTAAGCCTTAAGCCTTTAAGCCCTTTGTGATGGCAGCAGTGGAAGCAGCTGACCCAATGCTGAGGTTGTGGTGCCATGCATCGGATCCTCGCAATCAGGGCCTTAAACCTACAGCTCCATTGCAAGCCCTCTGTATAGAAGCCGACCCTGTAGAGAAAGCCAGGGCCAGTGAGCCAGGGCCAGGATAGTGTGTTGATATGCTTCTCCTAGTTTCGCAGTGAAATGTGGGCACAGGCAAATCGTGTAGGTCTTGGTGAAAAACAGTTGCATGTAGGGCAGGCCACCACCTCATCAACCCCAAAAGCCCTATAAATAGAAGTCATGAGAGCCCGCAGCCCTTAAGCAGGATCAGCTGCGTGAGCCCAAGGGCCCCACTTCTCATCGTAGGTCTTTGGGCAAGGACGGGGCTTTTTAGGTTCGGGCCGTAAATCCCATGATCCTTGAAAAGGGTTACGTAGGGTAGAAACCCTAAGCCCTAAACCCTAAACCCTAAACCCTAAACCCTAAACCCTAAACCCTAAACCCTAAACCCTAAACCCTAAACCCTAAACCCTAAACCCAGGGTTGGGACCAAGGTCTGACTTGACCGGCAGCAGACTGCTAGCCGACTTCGCTGAGCAGCCGCCGCATCTTGGCGTCATGAGGCTATGAAGAGGGTCAATTCGGGATCCTAAGTTAGTAGGGTTTTAGGGTTTGGGATCCGAAGTTAGTAGGTTTAGGGTTTGTGATCCGAAGTTAGTAGGTTTAGGGTTTGGGATCCGAAGTTGGTAGAGTTTTTAGGGTTTAGGGCTCAAGGTTTGAGGGCTCCGCTTGGCTCGACACTACTCACGCTTCGTGATGCTGAGGCTCTACACCCGGAAGCCCTGAACCCAACACTTCTAGAACTTAGGCTCTTAAACCCGCAAGCCCCATGCAGCCCGAAAGACCGGCACACTGAGGCCCTCAACCCCAAGCCCGAGCTCTCAACATACTGACATTGGCAACCCTGGCCGTAAAAAACATCTGCAACAAAGCCAAAGTGCCAAAATGCCCGATCGACCTTACAGGGGCTGCAGCTTTTGCCCAAATTTCTAGGCCAGAAGCATCCCCAAGCCAGAAACCCCCATATCAGCCTTAGGCCCCTCCCCTCGTTAGCCAGGTTCCGAAACCCTAAACCCTAAACCCTAAACCCTAAACCCCAAGGCGTAGACCCTAAACCCTAAACCCTAAACCCTAAACCCTAAACCCTAAACCCTAAACCCCAAACCCTAAACCCCAAACCCTAAAGCCTAAACCCTAAACCCTAAACCCTAAACCCTAAACCCTAAACCCTAAACCCTAAACCCTAAACTCGTTACTCGTTTGCCGAGGCAGGGAGCTGCGAATCTGGCTCGGTGCCCTGCGACATCAGCAGCGGGGAAGCCCGGATGTGCTGGGGGCTCCGATGTCCAGTTGCGTCTAGGGTTTAGGGTTTAGGGTTAGGGTTTAGGGTTTAGGGTTTAGGGTTTAGGGCAAGTTTAGAATTAGGGTTTAGGGTTTAGGGTTTTTTTAAGGGCATTTGCTAGATTTTTTCAAGGGCGTTCATGGTGTTTTCATGGAGTTTTTGAAAGGGTGTTTAGGGGTTTGGGGTTGAGGGTAAGGGGTTTGCGGTTGTCGGGCTTTTGTGGCTTGGAGGGTTTGGGGCTTGGAGGGCTTGGGGTTTAGGTTTTAGTGTTCAGGCCTAGGAGTACCCGTCCCTAAACCCTCAACCCTAAACGTAAGGCCAGGAGGTCAGTATAAATTAGGTGGCCTCTCTCTCTGACCTGTGGGGGTCCCTCCAAAACCGCCCCTGCAACTTTTTCGGGTTTAGGGTTTGGGGTGTAGGCTTTAGGGTTTAGGGATTGGGGTTTAGGGTTTAGGGCTTAGGGTTTAGGGTTTTAGGGTTTTAGGGTTTTAGGGTTTTAGGGTTTTAGGGTTTTAGGGTTTTAGGGTTTTAGGGTTTTAGGGTTTTAGGGTTTTAGGTTTTGGGGTTTTAGGGTTTAGGGTTTAGGACCTCAGCCCCCGGCTGAAAGTAGTTGTCGTGCTGCTGTGCTAACCCTAAACCCTAAGTCCTCTAAACCCTATTGCCCTAAAACGAGGTCAAAGAGCCCCTGAATCACCAACTGCAGCCATGACCTGCGGCTTCGTTTCGCACGACCGCGTTGACTTGATGTTCTGCCGGTGTGTAGCACCATGTAGCCCAGAAGTGCCTCTAAATCGCGGACTACCGTATTTCTTTGGTTGAGGAAGGGGTGCGGCGTATGCTAGGGGACTGAAAACCCCCCTGACCACCCTCTGAACCCTCTGGCTTGGACCCTCCTAAAACCTTGAGTGTTAATCTGTTAATCTTAATCTTTTCAGGAAGAACCCTGAACACAATTGAGGTTTGGCCTCAACCCTAAGTTGAATAGGTCCTGTGGCCTCCGCCGCTGGCCGCGGCGTGCGGGAGGGCGCTGGAGGTCCTGGCTCAGTCCAATGCACAGGCGGCGCCCAAAGGTGGTTGGGTTTAGCCTAGGGTACTTGGAGGTTCATGGGCTCTGAAAAGTAACCCTACCTCCAAGTATAGGGTATAGAGGCTCTGGAGTTTAGGATTTCAGGGTGTAGGGTTTAAGGGTTTAGGTCAGGGTTTGGGGTTCAGGGTTTCAAGGGGGGGCAACAAGGGCAGGATGAATCGCGCGCCCTGTCCCCTTTGAGGGGTTCAGGGCTCTTACCGGACGTAGTCCTATGCGCCGCCATTAGGTTCAGGCGTTGAGCTCCCTTTCAGAGTAAGGTTTCTTGCTCGCGAGAATGACCCCCTAGCCCTGCTTTCGGCCTGAGGGCTTCTAACTCATCCTGTTCCCCTTTACGATGTGGCTTTGAGCTCCGTGTTCAGGTTATGTCCAGGGTTCAAACTCCTCTTACTTCTTTTTGGGCTTAGGCAGAGTCTATGCTAACTCATCGTATGCCCCTATTTCAGGGTTTAGGGATTTTGTGGGTTTTGAAGTTTTCGTAACATTAAAGAGTGAACGTCATACCTGCGCCTTACCTTTCAGGAGCACATCCCCCAAAACGTATCAGAGGGTTCTTAAGGGAGGGGGGTTGTATTGGGGGCATGTCAAAGGTTTCCTAATCCTCCCCACTACTCCCTGAGGCTCCCTAAGCTTCCCTAAGGTTCCCTAGGTACCTACCCCTAAGAGCCCTATAAAATTGTGTTTAGGATGTCAGAGTGTTGGTTAGGGTGACGGCGGGGGGGAGTGCTGTTAGGGAGGGCTTTGGGGGTATCTTTTCCATCTGGAGCTCGAAGCATCAGGGTGCGCAGGGTGGGGGCATCTCTGCGTTTGGAGTAGGAAAGAGCACCTGAAAGGGATCGTTGCGGGGAGAAGGGTTAAGCTGGCAGAACCCTGGAGATCCTAAGCTGCGAAGCCTACAAGATGCAGGCTTGCTCAGCTCTGCACGCCTCTCAAAGGCCCCAAACCCCCCCCAAACCTCCATCCCACCCCCCATGTAAGCCCCAAGCCACAACCTTTACGACCCTGAGCCTTAAAGTTCCCAAACCCAACTCCCCCAACCCCCCTATTGCAGGGCCCGGCCAACCTTGCGCGGTGCCGCGGTTCCCTCGAGACTTCCGGCGAGCAGGCAGAGCCCTGAACCTCCAGCGTGTCACTCTTTTCGACTGGGTGTAGGTGCAGCAGTGCAGTACTTAGTACTTGAAGGCTTAAGGGGTAGATTTTAATTATGGTCCTACTGGTGCAGTACTTAGTACTTGAAGGCTTAACGGGTAGGATTGTTGTGTGTTCCAAGTAGTGTCTTCACTGAGGTGATACTCTCCGTCATCTTACTTATGATGTCTTATACCTGCGCTGTGGGAAAGAAACACTGCCCGTGAACCTAGCTACCCATAAAGCTTCAAGCAGGGTTTAGGGTTTTAAGCTTGGCGTGTAGGGTTCTGGCTTCAGGGTCAGGGCAAGCTTGGGTGGGGGTTTCGACGTGCTCATGTGGAGGGCTTCAGGGCTGGACCTAGGCAACTAAACCCTACACTCCGAAGCCATAAACCTTCATACTGAACCCTCTAAGCCCCCTCAAAATACACCTTTTGTAAACCGAGTCCCATACTTTTCCAGGCTACGGAGTCGGTCTCTGAGCATGGGCTGACGCACGTCCACCAGTCCGACGCGCAGGCGCCGCCGGCAGCGCCATGTCGGGCTTCTGACTTGGGGTTTCTTGTTTTGGGCTTGGGGTTTAGGGTTTAGGGTTTAGGGTTTAGGGTATAGGGTTTAGGGGTTGGGGGCCGGAGGGGTGTTAGTTCAGGGTTTGGGGTCTGGGGGCTGCGGTTCTTTAGGGGCTTTTCTACGGGCTTACAGGGTTGAGTGGTTGAAGTTTAGGAGCTAGTTGTTGGGGGCTGATGGTTTTTCGGGGCTTCCTAAGGAGTTTATAGGGTTAGTAGTTGAAGGTTTAGGGTTGCTTCATCAGAGCGAAGTCGTCCTGAGCCCCTAAACGCTAAACCCTAAGCCCTAAACCCTAAACCTTAAACCCCTAAACAACCCTAAACCCTAAGCCCTAAACCAGCCAGCAGCAGCCAAACCGAAACTGCACATGGAGGAGCTCAGCAACGCGGCGCGGCCGTCCGCGCCGCGCGCCGAGAGTCTGGTAGGTCAGCAGCATGCAACCCTGAACCCTGAACCCTGAACCCTAAACCCTAAACCCTAAACCCAAAACCCTAAACCCTGAACCCTAGATCCTAAAAGCCTAATAGCTAGGTAGGCCCCTAAATAGCTAGGTAGGCCCTTGGGACATTTTGTATGATTTCCCTGATTAGGTTGAAGAGGATCATATTTCCGAGTATTTTTCAGGGTTTCTAAGGGCCATTCTTTATAATGACCTGAACATGTCGCGCTGTCTTCGCCGTAGGCGGCCCATAGGGCTTATAGGGTGGACGGGGCTTGTAGAGTTTATAGGGCTTTAGGGCTCGTAGGGTGAATAGGGCTTAGCGAAGTCTAGGGATCGAGGTACTCGCGGCTCCGTGGCGATCCGACACCGGAGGCTGCCTCGAGGACTTGGGAGACGGGACGGGCGATGTAGGGTGTTTAAGGTTGAGGGGTGGCAGGGGTTGAGGGTTAAAGGGGCTTTAGAGGGTTATCGGGTTGAGGGTGGCTTGGAGCCTTGGAGCATACAGTGGCCGCGATCTCCAGATGCCACAGGCAGCCGCAAAGGCGTCCGCGTTGAAACCAACCCAAGTTCGGCTCTGAGATGTGGAAGCTCGATGGGGGGACGCTCTTTCGGGCATCCGTGGCGCCCACGCCGCCCTACAAAGGGAACTCACAGAGGTTCAAGAGGATGGCGGGCCCTGGAGTGGGGCCAGCAAGATGCCTCATGGAGTTGAGCGCCAGCGCCAAGGCCGACCCCGAGAAGCGGTGGCACCCTGCTGCAGCATCGCAAGTGGAGCTGGCCGAGGTTTGGCGACCGGCAGGCACGGGCACATGTGGCTCAGCTGCGCTTGTTGCTGACTTGTGTCAAGGGGGATGTGTTTGGCCGACACGCAAAGAACTGGCCGACGTGCAGGGCTGGCTGTTCGCGATGCAGAAAAAAAAGGGGTTGGCGGGTCTGGCGGATGTTTCGGGATGGTGGCCCGAGATGCAAAAACAAATCGCAGGTTTTCCGGCCGATTTCCAGGGTTGGCTGCCCACGATCCACAAAGATCTTCCTCTCCTTTATGATTTTCGCAAAACTCAAGAGGTCTGAGGGGAGATAGTACATAGTAATTAAGTAGGACAAGTTTTTGCATCTCAGGGAGCTCTTTGCATCCCGAGCAGCCTTTTTTGCATGTCGGCCAGCCAGCTCCCTTCGCACGGCTTCTCATGCAGGGATTGTTCTGCCCCAGCAGAGTTCCCGCCATGAGCTGCACTTATGCCACACCGCCTGCGCTAAGATTAAGAGACTTATGGCTTCCGAAGCCCAGGGGAAGGCGCATCGGCATCCTTGTCATCATGCACGCCTCCGGGCTGCACTTGACTCCGTTGAGCTTTGGGGCTCCCCCCCCCCCAACCCAATGCCGCGAGCACACGTAGTACCCAGTAGTGGCCTGAGATAGGTGACTCAGTCAGGGTTACATACATCCATAGATATATATATATATATGTCTACGTATACACATACTTTTCCTTTTTGCATGTATATATATATATATATATATATATCAATAAGTCAGCTTTTCACCAGGGCGCTCGTCAGAACTCGCCGAACGAGGTTGTTTGTGCTCAAACAGGGTCCGCCGGCAGCCATCCAGCGATATGCACACGGACTTCGATGCCTGCATCATCGGTGCTGGCCCCGGGGGCCTGGGAGCTCTGTCAAGCCTGACTGAGCCCTACTCCGCAGACCAGCTCTCCCAAGACCAGATCGTGCGAGCTGGCCATGGCCACGGCCTCCGAAAGCGTCGGGAGCCGCGGATTTGCGTGGTGGACCCAGAGGGGTGGATGAGGACGTGGCATCGAAGGTTTAAGACCCTGGACATCAAGTGGCTGCGGTCACCGTCCGGAGCGCACCCGGACCTATTTGACGCCAGAAGCCTCCAGGCCTTTGCTGGCCTGAATGGCCGAACAGACGAGTTGCTGGATTCCGGGGCCGTGAACCAAGACCTCCGCGCACTTGCCGAGACCCACACTGGCCTGTGGCACTTGCCCTCCAACCGACTTTTCGAAGATTTCTGCGACGACCTCGCCAAGAGGTTGCCTCACACGTTTGTGCGCGGCACGGCCGCAGCCGTGAATGGCTCGGATGGTAACTTCACCGTCTCGCTGACCGACGGGCGCACTCTGACGGCCAAAACCGTCGTGCTCGCCCTTGGGGTGCCTGGACCTCCCAGGGTGCCGGCTGCATTTGCAGAGGTGCCCGAGCATCTCATGTTCCACTCGGACTATGAGTCGGGATCCCGGCTGAAGGAGATGAGCAGAGACCGGAGAGTCCTGGTGATTGGGGGTGGGCTGACGGCTGTGCAGCTTAGTCATAGTTGGGTACCATTTTACATGTCTAAAGGTACTTAAACCCAATAAGGAAAAAAGAATTGGGTTTTGAATATTATCCCAACCATGAACTAGGCAGGTGGCACAGCTTGCCATGAAGAGGGGTTGCCGTGTGACGCTCTGCAGCCGTCGCGCGCTGAACACCCGGCACTTTGACGTGAAGCCCACTTGGTTCGATCGAAGGCACGCCTACCGGCACCACTTTGAGTTCTTCGAGCAGTCTTTGGAGCTTCGCTTGAAGCACATACGAGAAGCCAGAGGAGGTGGGAGCGTGCCACCCATGTACATGCAGGAGCTGCGTGAAGCAGAGGCTGATGGAAGACTCGAGCTGAAGTGTGTTGATGCCAAGGTTGAGTCGATTTCCGCAGATTGCGTGCACGTGCTTCTGGGCAGTGAGCTGAGGCACTTCGACCTGATTGTAAATGCTTGCGGCCATGTCCCCGACTGCAGGCGCCTTCCCTTGGTGGCCCAGCTTCTCGAGGATCATCCGCTGGACGTCATCGGTGGATTCCCCGCAATCTCACAGGATTTGCGGTGGGGAGACTTCAAGAACCTCTTTGTCATCGGCGCCCTGGCATCCCTACAGGTAGGCCCAGATGCCGGGAATCTCATGGGACTCCGCCGGGCCGGGCACATCATGGCCAACGTCCTCGGCCTTCGGGAGTGGCTGAAGGATACCGGCTCTATCCTTGGCAACATCCGCGGCAACCGCTATGCTGCCCTCGGTGATAGCGACGAGAGCAGCGATGCAGAGAGTGACGGCTCGGAGTGTTCTGAGTGCTCAGATTCCGGCATGGCCGACGCGGAGGCCAAGCTGGATGTGAGGAGTGACGAGGTCAGCACTGAAGTTTCCATGGCCGATGAAGCCAGTGACCATACCAACCTACACTCCTCCGCGGAGTGAGGTGAGGTGCCACCGTGCCCCCTTGCACAAAGTTTGCACAACAATTCATTCATTGTCTTGACGAACACAAAGTTTTGTCCAAAAAAGGCTCGAGATTATGGGGCTCTTGTCGGCCCGAAGTTTTCGGCACCGAGTAGGAGACTTTTTGCTTTGACAGTCTCTTGGCGCTGGGTTGTTTAGCACCTCACCCGAGCCTCAGCGCTCGGTTCGTGGGAGGGAGCTCTCTTTCTGCATGGCAAACAAAAGCAAAATTCATGCATCGCGGCGCCAAACGGCGCGGCGTGCGTGCAGACGCACAGATGCGTCTGAAGGAGGGGTGGAGTTTTGTTGAGTCTGCGCAGGGCGCTTCACGAGGACCCGATGTGCGAGGACGCACAAGAAAAAGGGCCTTAGAGCCGTGCCCCACAGCGCCAACGGATCTGGGGCTTATTTAGGGTTTAGGGTTTAGGGTTTAGGGTCACAGGGTTGAGTTGATGTCTTAGGGTTTAGGGTAGAGAGTCGTAGGGCTTGTTCGAGGACTGTCATTGCCCCACAAAGCTTCCGAGCCGAGTCTGAAAGTAAAAGCTCATCCAACCCCGATCACAGATCCTAAACCCTAAGCCCTAAACCCTAAACCCGCCCTAAACCCTAAACCCTAAACCCTAAACCCTAAATCCTAAACCCTAAACCCTAAACCCTAAACCCTAAACCCTAAACCCTAAACCCTAAATCCTAAACCCTAAACCCTAAACCCTAAACCCTAAACCCTAAACCCTAAACCCTAAACCTCCAAACACATTTTTACCACCGTTTGCCCATTCGCCAAGGTCCGGTCTCCTCGGCTCTGCTCTTTGCCCGCGCGCTTGGATCCTCTCGGTTTAGGGTTTAGGGTTTAGGGTTTAGGTTTTAGTGATTTTTAGGGTTTAGGGTTTGCGCGGGCAGAATGGTCCAGTTCGCGCTGCAGCCCACAGCCTGCGCACGCCACGCGAGAACAGAGCCTGGGAAGCAGAGGGGCCCTTAGTTGCCTTTTTTGGTTTGGTTTATTTTCCTTCATAAGCATCCTTTAAGCCAAGTTTCGGATGACCGGAGGGGCCATCCTTAAACCCTTATAAACCCTAAACCCTAAACCCTAAACCCTAAACCCTAAACCCTAAACCCTAAACCCTAAACCCTAAACCCTAAACCCTAAACCCTAAACCCTAAACCCTAAACCCTAAACTCTAAACCCCAAACTCAGGGCACCTCAAGAGCGCGACCATTCAGGGCTCCCAGGCTTCGAAGTCGTGGCCTCGACTTCGTCGCCTACCATCTGCTTCTCTTCGCAGAGAAGAAGAGGCGATGGCGGGCAGGTACAGCGCTGGGTTTAGGGTTTAGGGTTTAGGGTTTAGGGTTCAGGGTTTAGGGTTGAAGAGGGGCCGGCGCCACAGGGTTTCGGTGGGGGTTGGTGTACAAACGTGGCGAGGAGACGACTGGTGAGGGCGCAATCAGGACACTCTCGGAAGGGAGAGCCCAGCTGCACTTCTCCGACTGGAGAAAGCCGAACACTGAGAATGAATAGGGTTTAGGGTTTAGGGTTTAGGGTTTAGGGTTTAGGGTTTAGGGTTTAGGGTTTAGGGTTTAGGGTTTAGGGTTTAGGGTTTAGGGTTTAGGGTTTAGGTTTTTTAGGGTGCGGGCCGGATCGGGTGCGCTTTTTTTCCCCCAACCACGTACAACCCCGAATAGCCCAGATCCCCAACACATTGTCCTCTGAAGGGCCCTGGGTCACAAGCCTCAGTGGCCCAAAACGGCCCACAAGCCCGGGACTGCGACCACGCAGGATTGCGCTGCAGAGGGGACGCGAGCAGGCAGGTTTCTAGTTATTATATTAATAATAATAATACTAATAATAATAAAAAAATAATAATAGGAGGTTTGAGGCTTCTGTTTACTGGGAAGGGGGAGAGGGGGGTTGGTTGGAGGATCTGTGGGTCATTACGGGTCTATGGTTTGGAGATGTGGGGTTGAGGGGTTCCGGGCTTTTAGGGGTCCAGGGCTTCGAGTTTTTGATAGAGGAGAATAGTTCGGGTTTTTGGCTTCCGCCCCAAGGTGCATCCTAGGTCCATGTCCCTGGCCCCCAAACTTGGACTGCTTTAGGAGCCCCCACACCCCGAATTTCGATTTTTCGAGGTTTTGAGACAATCTTCTTGGTCGCCCAACGCCCCGGGACCATTGTAGGCCCCAAACCCCACGAAAAACTCCCCGCAAAACACCCTCTGGAAACCCTGAACCCTGAACCCTAAACCCTGACCCCTGGATTCTTTGGATCCCCTTCCTCAGGACCGACTCGGCCGCTGCGTCCCGCGCCTGTGGCTGGCGCCTCAGGGGTCGGGGTTGGGGAGTAGCTGTTCAGGGTTTAGGGTTTAGGGTTCAGGGTTTCGGGTTCAGGGCTTATCGGGTTCAGGGCTTATAGGGTGTAGTGTTCAGGGTTTCGGGTTCAGGGCTTATAGGGTGTGGGGTTTAGGGTTTCGGGTTCAGGGCTTTTTGGGTGTAGGGTTTTGGGGTTAGGGTTCAGGACTTATAGGGTGTAGGGTGTAGGGTTTAGGGTTCAGGGCTTATAGGGTTTCTAGGCTTAGGTGCTTTAGGATTTAGGGTTTCGGGGGTGAAGCCCGTAGCGTTCAAGGTTTCCGTGGGGTTGGGGTGCTTCGGCTGTTTTAGGGTGCCCGTGTTTGTGAGGTTGTGGTTTTCGTTCGGGGTGTTCAGGGTCTTAGGTGTCCAAGTAATACAACTGTAGTCTGCACAGGTTACTCTACCCTTTCTTTCCCCGTAGGATCAGTACATATCCCAACTAACACAGCTCCTATACATACACGCATCTACATTCCTTCTTGCTAAAGGAATCCAAAATACTTCCTACCCACTCCTCATGCTACTAATGGTTGTTAAACCCTAAACCCTAACCCTAAACCCTAAACCCTATAGCCTAAAGCCTAAAGCCTAAAGCCTAAAGCCTAAAGCCTAAAGCCTAAAGCCTAAAGCCTAAAGCCTAAAGCCTAAAGCCTAACGCCTAACGCCTAAAGCCTAAAGGCTAAAGGCTGAAGCCTGAAGCCTGAAGCCTGAAGCCTGAAGCCTGAAGCCTGAAGCCTAAAGCCTGAAGCCTAAAGCCTAAAGCCTAAAGCCTGAAGCCAAAGCCTAAGCTCTAAACCCTAAACCCTCAGGGCCCAAGCTCTCAGCCTTTGAGATGCGAAGGGGTTTAGGTTGAGGGTTTAGGGTTTCGGGAAAAGGGTTCAGGGTGTTAAGCCCCCTAGCAAAGGCATGTGTGCCTGCTGCCTAAGGCCCCATGTTGAAATTTCCGGCCCGACGCCTCTTGGATACCAAGAGCCGCGCGTCATCGTTAATGTGCCCCTCCGAACTCATGGTTTAGAGTTTGGGGTTTAGGGCTTTTAATGCTGTGCTTTTTCTGGGATGGTGAATGGCGAATCATGCTGCTAGACTATGTGTAAACCTGTAAACCTAGTCTCTCCTGCGCATTGCTTTCTATTGCTGCAATCAGTTGTCACCTCGCGGCCCTTTGAGGTACCTGGCTTTATTGCCGGAGCCTCACACGTTGTCCATCAGCCGGTGCTGACCTGCGATACGGGGAAGCTGCTCCTGTGGCATGTATCGAGTGGGAGGGGAGAGGGGAGAAGAGAGAGAGAGAGAGAGAGAGAGGGAGAGAGAGAACCGTAAATGGCCATGCGCAGCCGAGTCAGTGACGTAGCAACCAGCGGGGAGGGGGAAGAGCACCGGCCGGAGTGATGTCAGCCTCAGACACAGGGGGAGTGGGGAACAGTCACGCCGGTGACCTTCTCCCGAACTGTCCAACCTGGAGGTGCCCTGAATACCGGGGCGGGCTCGTACGCCCGGGGGCTTGCCCCCATGCCCCCAAGAAAGAAGAAAGAAAGAGAACCCTAAACCCTAAACCCTAAAAGCCTCAGCCCTAAACCCCGAAACCCAAACCCCTACACCCCAATCCCTGAACCCTAAACCCTGAGGAGAGAGGGGAGAGAGCGGCGAGCCCCCCAGATAAGGAGCAAGAAAGAGGAGAGGGAGGGCCCAGGGGAAGCCACGAGGGGACTCCTCCGAGCATCTCTCTATCGGAAGGTGCTGATGAAGCCTGCTGGCTGGGAGACAGACGTCTACGACGTCTCAAAGTTTGGAGTTCCAATCTCACCAGCCTTGGCCTCAGCACCGAGCCCGAAGGGCACCCAAGTTTTACCTTCTTAAGTCGTTTGTGGCCTTGGGGGCCATGGGGCCAAGGACTTCATGTGGTAGCTCTGGTCAAACTTGTGGCAGCTACAGGTCGCTCGATTCTACCTGCTCTCGTCATTCCTAGCTGCGCACAGCAACGAGGACCGCACGGTGGCATCCAAGTCGTTTGCTAGTCCATGAGGGGGAAAAGGCCTACTTGGAGGTTCATGGGCACTTATAAGTAGGGTTGTGCGTAGGGCAACTATGGTTATGACCTAGGGTACTAGTGACTCCTACTTATAAGTGCACGGGCCCAGTTCATAAATGTAGCCTTGGTTGCAACACGGCCAAGAAGCCAGCTGCTTCCTCCTCCTACAAGCCGGAGGGGTACTAGAATCCCTATTGAGGACTGTTAAGGGTGAACGTCCCAAGGCTTAGGGGTTTGCTAGGAGTTCAGGGGGTTTTTCCAGGGGTTTGGGGTGGGGGCATCCTGTTTTCAAGGAGCAGTTCCCGATCTCTCGATGCGCAGAGAGTGGATATGGATTCATTCATCGGCGTGAGCCTAAGGGGGCGTTCAGGGAGCTCAGGGCTTCTGCTGGGCTGGTGTCTCCGTCATGAACGAGATGAAACACCAACCAGAGCACACGCAGAGTGCCAGGGCACAAGGGGCAGAATACTCGTGCGACCACGACCCTAAACCCTAAACCCTAAACCCCAAACCCTAAACCCTAAACCCTAAACCCTAAACCCTAAACCCTAAACCCTAAACCCTAAACCCCAAACCCCAAACCCCAAACCCCAAGCCCTAAACCCTAAACCCTAAACCCTAAACCCTAAACCCTAAACCCTAAACCCTAAACCCTATCCAATGAGATCTGAGATTGATGCCCCTGGTGAATGCAACGGTGGAGCAGGGAAAGGCAGCACCGCCCTACGACCAACTCCATGATCCAGCAGCCACTTAGGTTTAGGGTTTAGGGTTTAGGGTTTAGGGTTTAGGGTTTAGGGTTTAGGGTTTAGGGATGCCCATCACAGATGAAGAGCGCAAGATCCTACAGGAGATCGAGGGCAGCTTCCTCGGTTCCAGGATAGAGTTCCAATGATGCTGTTCCGCCAACAACTCGTCCATGCGCTCGCGTGTCTTCCGGCACTTCGTTTTCATACCCTCCCCCCAATATAAAACCCCCCCCCCCTCCTCCCTGACACCCTATTATTAAATACCCCCCCATATACTCTGGCATAACAAGGTGTTGCCCAGTGCACCGGACCTTCTGCTTGGCAACGGCACAGAGAAAGGCGAGGCATCGCGAAAGTTCGGATGCACGGGGTCATGGCCGAGGGATCGCACCAAGGTTCAGGGTTCAGAGTTCAGAGTGCCAGTTCAGGGTTTCAAGCATCCGTTCTGGGTAGGTTTGGGGTTCAAGGTTCAGGACTGCCCTAAACCCTAAACCCTAAACCCTAAACCCTAAACCCTAAACCCTAAACCCTAAACCCTAAACCCTAAACCCTAAACCCTAAACCCTAAACCCTAAACCCTAAACCCTAAACCCTAAACCCTAAACCCTAAACCCTTAACCCTGAACCCTAAACCCTAGGTTGGATCAGATGAGCTCCGGCCTCATTCTGACCGCCACATGCTTCTCGCGCCCCGGCAGCAACCTGAGTGTCCCAAGAATGTTAGAGACCCTAAACCCTAAACCCTAAACCCTAAACCCTAAACCCTAAACCCTAAACCCTAAACCCTAAACCCTAAACATCCCTAGACATCCCTAGACATCCCTAATCATCCGTAAACATCCCCAAACCCTTAACCTTAAACTCCCCCCCTCCAGGCCGAAACCCCTTGGTTAGGTACTTGGGGCTTGGGGGCTTGGGGGCTTTGGGGCTTTGGGGGGGGGGGGTTCAGGCATTTTGGGCAGGGTTCAAGAAAGACTCCCATGCTCCTTAAGGAATAATTCCTTCAGGCCTTGGGGGTTGCCTAGGCCTTTTAGGGTTTAGGGTTTAGGGTTTAGGGTTTAGGGTTTAGGGTTCATAAGGCTTGGGAATCTTGATGGCTGGTTTTGAATGCTGTGGGTTGCCGGGGCCGTGGGACCTCGCGAGCCTCTGAGTTGCCCTAGCGAGCCTCCGGCAGCTGCACGCCATGTGCTGTGCAACACGGTTTAGGGTTTAGGATTTAGGGTTTAGGGTTCAGCATCTCAAGTCCAAGCATTCACTAGTCAAGAAATTACTCCAGGAAAATACCCACCCGCCCGAAGAATCCCACAACATTAAGAAAATATTTCACTTATGGAACGACCTTGCCCAGTAAAAAAATGACCTTGCCCAGTAAAAAACGACCTTGCTCAGTAATGACCTTGCCCAGCAAAAAAATGACCTTGCCCAGTAAAAAAATATCCTTGCCCAGTAAAAAGATGACCTTGCCCAGTAACATTTTTATTGGGCAAGGTCATTTTTTTCTGGGCAAGGTCATTTTTTTACTGGGCAACGTCTTTTTTTTGACGAAACGACCTTGCCCAGTAAAAAAATGACCTTGCACAGTAAAAAAATGACCTTGCCAAGCAAAAAATGACCTTGCCCAGTAAAAAAATGTCCTTGCCCAGCAAAAAGATGACCTTGCCCAGTAACTCCTTAACATCTAAACTATACATGAAAGAGAGGTTTAGGGGGTCTGGAAGGCATTTGCGCTCGCCATTCGCTTGCACCTAGGCTTCCAATGGTGGGTCCGGTATTCAAGCCGTAAAGAAGGCCTAAATGCTGTTAGAAGGCCCCTAATATTTAGGGTACCAAAAAAGGGACCATATACGGAGCATAATTTTCAGAACTGATATTTAGGGTACCAAAAAAGGGGCCATATACGGACCATAATTTTCAGAACTGACCGTAGGTTGTGGACGTGCGATGGCAAGACGACCGCAGAGACCTGCTTGGCCAGGTGCCACGCTTTCCTGCAGTTCCAGATGGCCACCTACCAGATCGACAGGGAGTGCCCATGAACCTTCCAGTATGTTTATGAACACATGTTTATACAAGACAAGACAAGACAAGACAAGACAAGACAAGACAAGAGAAGACAAGACAAGACAAGACAATACGTTACAATGTAATAGAAAATCTTGTTATATGTTGCGTTACAATAAAATTTTCTATATTACATATGCATATATATATATATATAGATAGATAGATAGATGGATAGACATGCCTATGTCCTATCCGCCCGACCCCCAGGCCCAAAGATTGCAAGACCTAGATCTTCAGCAAGTGTGGGTTCAGGGGCGTTTGAGGGGTTTCGGGCCAGCACGCTACCTTGATTGTTCGCGGGTATGAAGACTCTCAGAGGTGCACAGTATCTCAAGACGTCGGGTTGCTCTTAGGCTGTAACCTGCAAGTGCGCGACGAGCCTAAAGAGGTCTCCCAAAGCAACCCTGAAGCCCTCTGAGCAGCAGCTTATCACGACACCCGAAGCCCTGAAACCCTGAAGGCCCCAAAAAGCCCTAAGACTCCCCCCCAAAAAATTCTTAAGGTTCGAAAACCCTTAAAGATTTCCTCAACATGCCTAAGCCTTCGCTCGGCACCTCTGCGTCCCTCGCCGGCCCCTTTTTTCTTCTCAGCTCCGGGGGGTTTGCAGCCGCCTCCAAGGGCGGTCAAAGAGGCGCCAAGAGTGCTGGAGGTTGTTTTGAGGGTTATTAAAAGGGTTTAGGGTTTAGGGTGTAGGGTGTAGGGTTTGGGAGGGAGTAGACAGGGAGAGCTTGGGGAGCTGAGGGTTGGGGGGGAGTTTCGGGTGGTTAGGGACTTGGGCAGTTGGGGGTTTGGCCAAAGGGAGTCCATAGGTCTAGCATTCAGGGAGGGTCAGTAGAGGTTTAGGGTTTAGGGTTCAGGGTTTAGGATAGAGGGTTTAATTAGGGTTTAGGGTTTAGGGTTTAGGGTTTAAGGTTTAGGGTTTAGGGATTAGGGTTTAGGGTTTAGGGTTTAGGGTTTAGTCGGGAAACCTACTGGCCATCGCTTAGAACCCCGACTCTGTGCTCCAGTGAAGCAACCCACAAAATTGCCTAGCGAGGAAGAACATTTGTTGTTTTTTGTATTTTGCGGGTGGTTCGGTTTAGGGGTTCAGGAGTTTAGGGTTTCGGGGTTTAGGGCTTTCGGGTTTTAGGGGTTTAGGGTTTTAGGGGTTTAGGGGTTTAGGGGTTTAGGGGTTTAGGGGTTTAGGGGTTTAGAGGTTTGGGGGTTTAGAGGTTTAGGGGTTTAGGGGTTTAGGGGTTTAGGGGTTTAGGGCTTGTCATATAGGGGGGAGGTTCCTTTGATGGCCCGCCTCAATGCGGGTAGTTCTCCAAATGAGGGTCACTTTTCTGGATACTCCTTTTGAAGCGTGCCGTCCTCTTGAGGGGACACAAGAAGGGACCCTAACTTAGAGAACTGCCCATGTGCTGAATAACCCTAAACCCTAAACCCCAAACCCTAAACCCTAAACCCTAAACCCTAAACCCTAAACCCAAAAAACCCGAAGTGGAGGTCTCGAGTTTCGTGTGGCTCCCCGGGCAAAGCCCTTCGAGCCAGCGAGACATCGCAAAGAGGAGACCCCACAGGAGACACGGGGTTCTTTCGGAGTAGGGTTTAGGGTTTAGGGTTTAGGGTTTAGGGGTTTAGGGGTTTAGGGGTTTAGGGGTTTAGGGGTTTAGGGTTTAGGGTTTAGGGTTTAGGGTTTAGGGCTACGGGGCACCTTTTTTGGGCCCTCTCGGGGTTCCTGGGGGTGGGCTGCTCTTGCATTTTTTTGGTGTTTTTTGGGCTTTAGGCTTTGGGGTTTTGGGTGAGAGAGCCTTGGTTTTCTTGCGGGTTTGGACCCTCGATTTTTGGGTTTCTTCATCCCGATGTCTTTGTGGGGCTTCGGCTGCTTTGGCCGTCGGCCTCGAGGCATCCAGGGTAAGATCCTTACAGAACCTTGAGCCCTGTAGGAAAGAACCGTTCATACTAACCTCATGACCCTGAAGACCCTAAAAGCTCTTTGTTCCCATTTCTCCGCGCAGCGCTTGGCTGGCCCGATCCTTCTCGGCAGGAGTCGCTGAATTTGATAAAACCCGACTGCTTTCTCACCCGTGCGCGGGGCCTGAGGAGCACTGCAGAGTAAGGAGCAAAGAGGCAGCTGAGTCCTTGAAGCCCTTAAAAACCCCTGACCCTTAGGGTTTATAGGGTTTAGGGTTTAGGGCGTAACCTGCATCTTACTAGCAGAATGTTGGGCCGTGTTGCGGTGCTGTACGTCATGCTCTCGTCTCTATTGCAAGGCTTCGGGGGCTTCCGTTCTAGATCCTTCAGGAACGACGAGAACGTGCTGCTAGGGTCGTCCATGGATTTCCGTTGTGCTTGTCGCTGCGAGTATGCCAACGGTGGGCCAGGGTCGGCGTGCACTCGCCGAGGCGTGCCCTTGTCGAGTGACATCTTTCATCGCTGCTTGCGCTTGGTTTTTATTGCGCCTCGCCCGCAACGGAGAAGGCTTGTGATCTGTTGGCGGGCGGCTCGGTTCAAGTATCGATACTGCAGCCGACCTCATTGCAGTGCTGCTGCATGAAGGTTGGCACACTTTTTTTTTTTTTTTTTGGGGGGGGGGGGGGGGGGTAGGGGGGGTGCTTGGAAACACTTCAGTTGCGTGTACGCCGAGGTGCACGTCCCTAGCTGCCTGGCGGCAGTTGTTCAGGGCCACGGTGTTGCCCCAAAGAAAGTGTTTACCCAAAAACAGCCCAAGAGCAAGATGCTGTAATTCAAAGCAAGAGTGTACCCAAACAGCCCAAGAGCTAGATGCTGAACTTAACTGGGTTCAACGGTTCAACTTTTGTTGCGGGTGATGGGTGGAGTTGCCCCCAGCTGCCACGCAGTGCAAAATACTGAGCCTTCTTCATGCGGGCGTTGTGAAACTGGGGGGTCCAACTCCTTTATGGCAATTTGTAGTGCTGGTGCTTAGGGCATCGTGGAGGATAGTCAGGGGGTTCGGGCTTGAAAGGGCTCCTTTACAGAATCATTTAGAAGCACCCCTGGGCCCCCGGAGTAACGGACCTTGATTTAATTGGGGACCGAACCTAAACCCTTAACCCGAAACCCAAAACCCTAAACCCTAGCCCTAAACCCTAAACCCTAAGCCCTAAACCCTAAGCCCTAAACCCTAAACCCGATTTCCTGCAGGCTCGTTGCCTGGCGATACGGCAGGCTCTTTCAGGCCCAAAGCCCGGGAACAGCCGCTCTCGAGCTTTCCACACAGCTGCTCAATGCCACAAGGGCTGGCCATAAGGGGTTTAGGGCTTTGCGGGCACGGGTTTAGGGTTTAGGGTTTAGGGTTTAGGGTTTAGGGTTTAGGGCTTGGGGTTAAGGGGTTCAGGGGTTAAGGGGTTCAGGGGTTAGGGGTTAGGGTCTATAGGGTTTAGGGTTGAGGGCTTAGGGTTTAGGGTTCCTTCTCCTGAGCAACGGGTCCGTCGAAGGAGAGAGCAGGTTGAGGAGCTAGCGTTTAGGGTTTTTGGGGTAAACCAGTTGAAGAACAGACCCCAGCTCGAGCTGGTGACGAGAGAGCGGGGCTTTTATCTTTAGGCTACAAGAGCAGCAGATATGGGTGTTCCCCAAAATAGGGGTTCCACCTCTTACTCGGGCCCAGAGTAGGCCCTTATTCTTTTTTCGGGTTTAGGCTCACTGATAAGCCTCTTTTTGAACCAAAAGGGCACCCTTTTTTATTCCTAGGTTACTCCTGGGTCTAGTTTATATTGGAATAGAATCCCCTCAAAATGGACCCCCAAAAGGGGTACCCCTATTTTCGGACGCCCCCATATAAGGTAGTTGCAAGGAAAAAGGATCTGCGCCAGGGCCTTCACCATGGGCTCGCTAGGCCCCTGAACCCTAGTTATTGTGAATGTGGACCGCTGGCAAACCCGAAAGCCGTGCCCCCTGCAACCTGAACCCAACACTCGGAACCCAAGATCGTTGCGGAGGTGCCCACAAGAAAGATGTGGCGCAGCTGCAGCAGCAGATTTTTCGGGGGCCTCGCGGTTCAGGGTGCAGGGTGCGGGGTTTAGGTTGGGGATATCGGGGCTGGATGAGTGCTTTGTATGGTGAAGTCATGAAATACACATGGCCAGGCGCCCCGGAAAGCAGCCATACATAAAAAAACGCCCCCCCCAGACCCCAAATCTTTCTGGAAATCCCAAAGGACCACCAATGCTTCCTTTCAACCCTCGACCCCTAAACCCTGAACCCTAAACCCTCAACCCTAGAATCGCGAGCTCCCTCCTGGCCCCCCCTGCGTTCGCGCCATGTAGTGCCCCCCCCCCCCCCCGAGGCGGTGGGTGTTCGCACTGCTGAGAGCAGCGGCACTCCTCCGAATTGCAGGCGCTCACCTTGGGGCCCCTTTCTTGCCTTAGTTGTGGGGTAGGTAACCCTTAACCTTTTTTGGGGTAATCGAATCTCCCCTTATATTCTCAAAGGTTAACCTTTAGTCCCCCCTGGACAACTAAGTTGCTCTATTGGGATGTCTGCAGCTTACCTCTACAAGAATCCGGCAAGGGAGGCTTTTCTCATCTCGACCTGCCAAAACAGTGTGGGTTTAGGGCCCGAACCAATGGGAACCCGAAACCTCCCAAACCCCCCCAAAACCCCCCAAACTCTCCCAAACCCCCCCTAACCCCCCCCCCCCCCCCCCAAACACCCCAAACCCCCCAAAAACCCCCCTAAACTCCCTCAATGCCCTCACAAAACCCTGGAGCCCCCAAACTTCCCAAAGCCCCCGCTGAAAGTCCTCCCTCTGCTTCCGAATTCCCTCCGAAAGGTGCCGATGAAGAGATCCGAGAAGAGGCCACGGTAGGGCTTGGGATTTAGGCCCTAGGCTTCTCTGAGTGCCGGGGATTTAGGGTTTAGGGGTTGGTTCGGGGTTTGGGGTTTGGGGTTTAGGGTTAAGGGTTTAGGGTTTAGGGTTTGGGGTTTGGGGTTTGCAATCTGGGGCCCTGCGCGTCGGGA